TGTCTTATTTATAGGGACTTGTGGGTTCATCCCACCACTACTTACTTAGCTAGCAAGTAGTGCAATATACTATGGTTGGTCACTATAAAACTACTAATCACTTTACATCTCTAAATTTGTTAATATATGTACCTTTATGTAATCTATGGAAACATAAAAAAATGAATATAGAATATTGATTCAATTTGTCTTTTATGTCATTAACTAATATACATTTCCTGAAAAATTGTATATCTTTGTGTCATTACACTTTTTCAGATGCTGTAAAATGGAATACTGAATCCGTTAAACTCTTGATATCTTTGAAGAAAGAAAATACAGAAATGTTTTCATCAAATATCATCACACAAAAACAAGGTTGGAAGAAAATTTCGGAAATGATGTGCTTGAAAGGCCATCATTGTACAGGGGAGGAATGTGACAAAAAATTCCGGTCACTTAAAATGAGGCAAGTTATTGTAAACCCCTGTCATGATATAGTTGGTTCATTTTCCGATTTTCATCCATTATTTTGTCACAAGATGGTTCAGCCATACATGTAATAAAAATATCTAAATCATTGAGACTTTCTCAAGAACCATTTTTTACAAAAGTTATTGCCCTACGAAAATTTTTAATTCTCAGTTATAATTATTTTCAAGTGCACTTGTAAATGATAAGTTGGATTGACAACTGATTCATAGAAAACATCCTTGGACTTTCAAATTATTTTAAAGTTAAAATGCTAGCTTGGGCTTTAATGTCAGACTTATAAATCTAAATGTAAAATTACCAAGGTAATTTTAATAGAAAAATTTTTTTTATCTTTGTACACCCACCTGTGTACAAATTACAAACCAAAAAACCACACAATTTTTATTGCCCTATAAGTTATGTCCTTATAAGGATTTGATTTAATGATTTTTTTTTTGGCAGAAGGTTATATCTTATACTTTTGTCAATTTTTCCACCATGGTTTTTCATCAAAATATCTCCTGGTCTTAGGTATTAAGCAGATAAACCAAGAATATAGTTATTATGAAAAAAATTGCCTTTTCCATAATTCAGATTCTGAATATGTTGGCGTTTGGTCAGGGGAACTGGTGTTAAGGCAGGGTTCTGTTTATCATTTAATTCTTTAATTTCTTTAAAAATCTTTGCTTCATTGTATATAAAGCAGATATAAATTATTGAGAAACTTTAAACCTTTGCATTAAGCTGTCATAAAGGGACCTCAGTGTTTCACATATACATACATGTACTGTTGTTTCTATATTGGTCAGATAGAAATTAATCAAAGAGAGAAACAAAAGAACTGGAAGTGGGCGACAAACTTGGCAGTTCTTCTCCCTTATGGATGACCTACTACATGGTGACCCTGCTGTGATTCCAACAACAGTAACCTTATCAATACAAATACAGAATTCCAAGGCAGCCAACACCAACGCCCCTTCTTCTTCCATTCCTTCCTCTTCTTCTTTTCCCAACTCTAATCCTCCCACAAAAAAAAGAAAATTGATAAGGAATCAGCATGGGTTACCGAGTACCGGGAACAGTTAAAAACTATGCATGAGGAGAGAATGGAGTTGGAAAAAGAAAAATTGAAATTGGAAGAAAGGCGGGTGGCAGCGTTAGAAAAGCTTATTAATAAAGAATAAAGCAGTCAATTTAGTATTAGTCTCAAAATGGTTGAGGTCTACTGTCCCTTTGTTCTTAAGTTAATCCAAAAATTAAAAAAAATTTACTAAATATTGATTTTATCATTCAAGGTCAATCTTGAATATATAGTACAAGGTTATAACTTGAAAAATTTTTGACATATGGATTTCAAACTTGGAACAAGTAAAGACAACATTCTAAGACTAAATGCACTACATCAGAATATTTGACCTTGACTGCTTTTTTTCATTCTGGATCAAATTAAGAAAAAGATGACCAGACCTTGATTTAAGATCCTTTTCACATGAAGACTTGAAATTTTTATATATTTTTAGGAATCTGATGTGCAATACACTGCATTATTATTCTTTACCCTAGTCACATTACTGCACTTGTTTATGATGGTAAAGGAGGCAAGACATGTTTTTTATTACCCACTTAATCTTCCTCAGAAGTGAATTAATATACCTTTCTTATCAGAGGGACATTACCTTAACAAATACTATAGACATGCAGTTTTGCTATACATGTATCACCTGAGCCAAATATCTGTACTAGATTATTTTTATCATCATATGATGAATTTTGAATTCATGCATTTGTTTAATGTTTAAGTATTTAATATTTATACCACCTCTACAGTTCATTCAAATATTCAAACCATGCTTTGTTGAAATGTTTATGTCATTGGGAATGATTTTTATTATTAAAAAAATGCTCATCTGATTTTAAAAGGATAGAAATTTATATCTTTAAATTGTTTATTCAAATTTGATAAATACACATAGTAACTAATTAAATATTTATTCACAAATCCACTCTGTGAAAATTGTAAACATTTGCAACTTAATATCAATTCTCTGGAATTATCAAAATTGGTTGGCCACGCATAGAAAAACATTTTGATTTTTTTATAATAATTTTAAACAGCTATGTCATTAATTGTAAAATCTAAAGTGGGTTTATGAAATAGACCCTTGGTTGCCATAGAAACGGGGTGCAAAATTCTCATTTTCATTAATTTTGAAAAACGTGAACTTATCAGAAACTGTGTCCAGAAATGAAAAGGGATAACTTAATATGTTTTCATTATTTAAATTTAATACTACAGATTAAAGTAATTATATCTGTAGTTTTAATTTAATCTCTCAATAGTAAATGGCCAATTTACATATTATAACATATCAGATATGTGATTGGTTTAGTGGAGTTTTTGGAGGCTTAAAACAAAAAAGGCACACTGATTACAAATTTAGTAATAATTAATTATGAAAGGCTGATATTTGATTATATCAAAATATGTAAAATATTGGTGGGACACTCAAAGATGTAAAAGGAATTCAAAGGTAAAAATTACTTTTTTCTACATTTTGAAGCATTTTTTGTTCCTAATTACTTCCCTTGAACTACTCTCTAACGTTTGGAGGTACAATGTGTATTTAGTAAACAGCAATGAATATTTTCTGGCGAAAGATCATCAAAGTTTTACAGTCTGGAAGAAAAGAAGGCTAGACATCTTAAACAATGAAGACAGAAGGTAAATATATGTATATACTGAACATTACAAAAATATCAAGATTAACAAATGCATATTTTCTTAATTTTATTTGCCTTACAATACCCAGTTGTTTTACTGGTGTAGTGGTCAGTGGTCCTTATCAAATCAAGCGAACTATACCTTTTGACAGTTTGACTTTCTGACCAATGAATTAATTATTTTTATTAATAAAAATGAATTTGAAGCATATAAACATCACTTGCTGATACAGCTGACCCCCCCCCCCCCCGAAATATAAATCTCTATATATAGATTGTACATGTGTAAAATCTGTGCCATTCAGTAGGTTTACTTTATATGATGTGCTGAGAGAGACTTTTAAGTAAACATTATTTATCTTTATAAAATAAATTTCCACTTCTGTCAGTTTTAATTCATTGTTTATCCTATTATTTCAATTCTTTATTGGCATTAGGCACATATTTTACAGAATTGTGTTGTTAAAATATTAACTAGAGCAAGTTTAATTTGTTTCTATAAAAAAGTGCATCAAACGTTTATAATGTGTGAGCACAAGCATAAAGTAGATAAGTTTTTTAAATAGTATTCTATATATATCAGCAAAATATGGTCATGTGATGTTCATAAGCAGAAAATAGGAAAACAGCATGTTTGTTTTGATGTCATTGCCTTATTTAAAAGCTTCTATCTTTTAAACTTTAAATTTATTATATATATCCAAAACTACTGTTCTATATGTAATGACAAAATAGATCTAGGTTAAGAATGCACTGGAAATATTGAGTTATTTTTGTTTATATAGACTCTTTCATTCATCTGTGAAGTAGCGGTACTGTATAATCTATAGTTCAATTTTGTGTGAATAATAATTATCTTTTCAAATAGCAAACAGTAAAAATATATATATGTACACTTGTACATATGTATAAGTGTTAAAACAAAATTTAACTAAAGGTCCGGTGAGCATTGAGCTCACTAAATGATACCACCTGCCTCCCATCTGGTTATAACTGATGACAAATCCATGTTTTACTGTGGCCGGGAAACCCAAAATATGCGTCAAATCAAAAACTAAAATAGGAGGTGCACAATGACAATATGTAATAAAGATTCTGTGAAAGGTTCATTAAATTTCACTCATTGCAGTGGTATAAGAGGAGTTGTGGATAATAAGAGATGGGTACCCTAAAGCGTAACAGACAGACGGATGTATAGACAGATGGACGTACAGTTAGACGGACATACCGATTACAGTATACCCTACCACTTTTCAAGCGGAGGGTATAATAAAACTATATACATGTACATGTAGAATATTCACCTCTGATTTATAATGATATTTGTTTTGTACACACTGACCATGTTTTATAATATTCTAAACAAATTAATTGATACTCAGGCAAATATTCACTACTGGTAAGATGATCACACACATGAACATGTCTGTGTATGAATGAAATGAATTTTCCTTTTGATCATGTTCCTAGGAAAATAATTATTTTCATCATTTTTTCATCAAAGGATTTACCATATAAGATGAATAAAGAAAAGTAAGACCAGTAAACCAAAACAGGACCAAATAGGCCATGACTGAAGTTCAAAGTGCATTCTGCAAGAAAGCGGACAGCCTAGATTCTGTTCTTTTCAAGGTAACCATTCTTAAAATATGAAAGTAAATTAAGGGCAGATGATACAAACAAAAAATGGATGCCTGGATTGGTATATATTTTTTGGCATAATTTAATTGCAAATTAATGATGTATTAATAAATTTCTAGAATATTAAGAAATTGTAAACCTTCTGTGATGTTCAAAAGTCTGCCCTCTTGAAACTATCCTTATTAATCTATACAAATATTTTTCACTTCAAATTCCATTTTTATGCAAATATGAATTAAAAAGTACTTGTCGTGAGGAAAGTTATTAATTTTACTGATTTAAACATGACCCAAGTTGTTATTTTCAAATTCTTTGACAAAAGTTTGTTTGTATAATCTGTCCTTAAATTGTTAAAAAATATTTCAGTTTTATATCTAAATTTAAACCTTGCTTATTTCTTTTTTTTTAAACAAAATTTATTACCTGTCCAGTAACAGAAGAATTATTATACTAGAATAAAGAAAACAACTTTCTAAAGGATTACATACACATTTAATTAGCTTGAAATCAGTGTACTAGTATATTGGAAAGTGCAGGAATTATTTACCATTGCAGGTTGAGAAGGGATGCTATATTTTAGGTTTGAAACCAGGCAAGTGAAAGCTGAATTCCAACCTACTTCAACATACTTGTACCCACTGTCTTCAAGATATCAGTGTTTTGAGATGTCAAAGTTCAAGATATCAGTGTTTTGAGATGTCAAAGTTCAAATATAATAGGAACATGTTTATCATATTATGTGATGGCATCCTCAAATCTTATGTTGTATAACAATATGTTTTAGAACTTATCAATCTTTATCCTGTACCTTTCCAAAAAAAACTAAACTCAGCATAATTCTCATTAACTAATTATCAGTGTTTCTTGCGTATGTCAATGTAGGTCATTACTGGTACATGCCTGACCAACTAAAACTCTAAAATTGAAAAATCAGAGTCAAGATTTTCAGCAGCAGAAACAGTAGAATTTGTCACGTAAATCTAATGATATGTACCATAGTTGAGAATAAATGTACTCTAAATGTTGCATATATAAAAAATAAAAAAGCAAAAAGTTCTCTTGTTTTCAGAATTTATATTTACATGTGAAAAAAAAAGAAATTTAAAGGAGGTTGATATAGTTGGTGTGATGATGTTGGCAGGAACCTAGTAAAATGAAAGGAAGAACTTCCTTAAAATGATACTTGTGGGGGACAGTGTCTCATGGGGGGTTGTTTCAACTGACTTTACAGAATACAAAAGATCCATTGCAAACCTAATTATTAATTATATGCTAAACACTATGTTTAAAGTTTTCCATTGTTGGATATTTATATTTAAATCCAAGATAACTTACCCAAGAGGATGTGATTTTTTTTTAAACCAATGTAATTTTTCTCAAGTTTAAAGCAGTGTTTCATAAGTTTTAATGAAAAAATCAGAAGGGAGGGGGGTGTGGGTAAATTTTTGACTTCCTTCAAAGTATCTGTGGTTTGCAGTTGCCCATGAATTTAATAAATAATTATACAAAGTAACAAGTTGAAATGAGTAAAATATTATGAATGTCTTGCTTGTTTTAGTTTCATTTCAGAATTTTTCAAGTTTGACCAAATCTTGAAAAAGTAAAATCCACAAGGTTTTGCAATTATTTGACATAGCATTACAAAATGCATTATATTTTGCAACATCATAAAGATGCAAATTTAAGATGCCAAAAAATTTAGTTCACATTTACATTTAACACATTACACATGTTTTATAAAAGAGTAAATAAGTGTAGTTTTGGGAATATTGTTATGTTAAACGCAGCTATTTTGGTTAAAAATCTGGTATTCCTGTCTCCATGGTAACAAATCTTGCATTCCTGTTTCCATAGTAATAGAGAATGGATAGGGAAAATTTTATTTCATATTACTTTCAATCTAAGGAGATAGTTTCAGGAAACTTGAAACATGCCCTGGTAAGTCTACATGCATGTACTTCAAAATTGTCAATTTTACGGAAAGGGGGGGGGGGGGGGGGCATTTTGTGCAGGTGTTCACAGTTCTCCTATATTTACATGTATTAATGCTCTTGGAAATGGGATGTGAATATTTTTACATGACACTTTTCCTAGATATGGACTAATTTTACTGTAAATGACATCAAAACAGGTAGAAAGGAACATTTCTTTTCTATATGAACTTAATGAAATGTGCATGTGTTCCTTGAAATACGGAAATTTTGCAGATTTTGGGTAATTTTTCATCAGCTTTTTAAAAAAAAAATTTTAGGTGTCCCATAAATATTTTTAATGTGTTTAAACTAACTTATGTACCATCTATACAATGCACTGTTTCCTGAATTTCAAATCAGTGTGCAAAGTATTAAAAAATCGCTTTGAAAAGGGGTCTAAAATGGCAATTTTCTCAATTTGGCAAAATGCCAAAATCCCCAAAGCTAAGCGTTGTTAAGCCATTATGTAGAATTACAGTTTTAAAAAATTATGTTGTTATACTAGAGAGGAATAATGGTAGTTTTGAAACAAAGTATCCAAGTTTTTGATAAAGTTTTTCAAAGTGTCAAAGATATCACTATAAATAACTTTAGTAAACTATAGTTAACTATAGAATTTTTTGTTAGGGTTGGTAAACGATATCAATTCCTAGGAGATACGTCGTATTATTCGAAGTTCTTTGCCTATGCCTAGACAAAGTGGAGCTCATGTAACTTCTGTATTTTCTGTTAATTAATACGACTCTTAAGCGCAATTTAATAACCGTATTTCTCAGCAGTTTAACTGTTTTTATATGTTACAAAAAGCTGACTTTGAAATCTAGCATCATGAAAAATACATCCCAACCCAAGTTTCAGTCTCAGACCTTACGTTCAAAAATATATTTTCTTTCCAATAGTACATCTCGAAAAAAATTAAGACAAGGGTTAAAAATGTGCAAAACACTCGTGTTTAAGAAGTCAATTTACAGACTTCAATCAAATAGTATCAGAGAAAACTCGATTAATTCAAACTGTAAAAAATATCAAAAGTTGAACCAAGCATATCTAACTTTAATCGGTGACACGGGACCTACGTTTTTAAGGTCATATCCAACAGACCTGTGACTTTCACTTCTAGTGCCGAGCGCTTGGCGAAGGAACAGTCACTACCTATGTTTACGTCTTAGGTATGAATCGAACCCGGGCCTCCCGATCACGAAGCGAACGCTCTACCACTAGGCTACCGTGACCGGTTTTATTGCGAGAAGAATATGAGATTAATTAATGAATGAAGTTTATTACAACTAATGTTATCCGATATAATATAACTAGGGGCAGTCTACGCTTTATAAACCGGAAAATGGCTTCGAATTGAGCACTATTTAAAAAGTAACGTCAAGTGGAGTGATAAGTTTTTGACGTAACTCATTGTGACGTAGGCAAGTTATGTTATACAAAATGGATTAAATCTTTTTTTCCCAATCAAATGACGCTAAATAGCTAAGAGCCCATATGAGCTCTTAAAGTGCGCAGATCTGTATATAAGAAATAGAGCAATATGATCTACCATCTCCATTTCCACTTAATACAATACGAAGTCTTAAATACAATACAAAGTCTAAAATTATTCACCATGTGTGCTTGTGTGTGTGTGTTTGGTCTGATTTATACTTTAATTTACTTATTTAATTTTTTCTATGTGAGAAAAGGGTGCATCGTTGCACCATTACCAATCAACCTTACCAGTCTACAATTCTGTTCGACGGAGACTTGCATGTAATTGAACAGGAACAGTATTCTCCACGTCCAATAATGAAGACGAGCATGAAAATATATCTATGATTGTTCATATCTGCCTCCATTTCTGAAATGAAAGTTATGAAAATTTATTTCTCTCTCATTTTATACCATTGACTTAAAAATTGTCTTACAAACTACATATCACATGACATTTAGGAGATTTAAGACACTATATTTTTTTGTCACAATAAAGCAGATTCCGGGGTTGTGAAAAAGTCATTTAGAGGTGTTGCATGGTGTTTTCTTGGGTTCTGCAAGTTATCGTGTCTCGAGTTTAAAGAAGGGTGTAAATCGTATGCAACAGCTTTGGGGTGTAAGGATAACAAGGATCTTACAAATGCAGCAGCAGATTTCTATAATGAGCACTTTGGATGGTTTGATAAGTTTTCCGCATAATTCATTGTCTTTAAGGAATATACGATCCTTAGTTTTTCCAGAAAACGTGCAATGCGATAAATTGACTACTACCAATAATCTATTGATTTATTTGAAATGTGTGCCAAGTGAACCAGGATTTGTGTACTTAAAAATTGCATACATTGCTGTGAATGGAATTATACTCAATGAGGATTTTTGTTTAGCTTTTTGTTGCCATAAGCTCACGTTTTGTTAGTTTTATTATTTTGTATATAATCAAGACCATAGCTGAAAAGCAAGGACAATCTTTGCAGTTAGGATTGCTTCACTTGGCTCTTCTCAGGAAAAGTATTAGTTCCACGTATTTTTGTAACTTAGAATCTTAACTTAATTTTCAAACTTTTAAGCTGGTAATTTTAACTTTCATTTAGGCATATCTAACTTTAATCGTTGATTTTGGCAATTTAAGAAGAGCAGTCGGGGCTAAAGGAAATTTGGTATGAAACTCTTTTAATTCCAAATTCTGCTAATAAATAAATGTACATTGAAATAAATGGTGAGCAATTTCAATGTCATTTTCATGTTTTAAACTTGATCTTCACCGTGATCTCACAAATAGCTTTCAACTTTTGATTCGAACTTCTCATATTTCTTTTGATCATTAGTATAATTTTATAGAGAATATCTTCATACATCCCCTTATATGACAAGATTTCAACCTAGTTTATTAGTTATCGAAAAATTAATTTTGATTTGTTTGAATGAATTTAAGCTGTAAAAGGACTTTAATGTGGTATTTTATAAGAAGGATTAATCCACTGCTTTATAACCCAGCGCACTGGGACTGATCTATGGGACCGCTAGGACGGCTTAGGGTCTGCTCTGGGATGACTTAAATTTGGGACATATCTGAAACTGCTTTGAGACTGCTCTGTGCCGGTAGTGGCAGTCCGTAAGCAGTCAATTGGTTCTGGATTGTACTGTATTTCATGATTATGCATGATTGCGACACATGGTAAGAATGCTAGTGTCCATAGCACTCTATACAGGGGACATTTTACCAACGTTTCATTTTCGCCTATTACGCTCTACCCTCATTTGGGCGAGTTAAAAAACGGGGCGAATTAAAAAATTACCGCATGATTTCTTAAATAAATTCATGATTAAGCGAATTTAAAACGGGAAAAAATTGTCTGCAAGTGTGAAAGGGCGAAAAGACAAAGGGCAAAAAATAACATTGTATACAGTAACCATGTCAAGCCGTAAACGAAAAAATATATGATTGAAAAATATCTAACTAACTGAACCCTTGAAAGGTCACGGCTGAAATGTTTAAATGATTGAGCAATCAATTGTCAAAGCTATCGAATGTTTTAATACATTCAAATAAGTGGTCTTTATTTAAATGTAAGATATTTCATTGTTTATTGGCGTATTTTAAATAAGCTAGGGCAATGCACATATTAAGATTTGACATCTATACAGTAGATTAACTTGCCTCTCACAAAAAAGCATGGATTTTTTTTTTTGATAATAATACTGTATTGAATGATATTATGCTGCAAACCCACATGACATAACTAATGTACCCCGTCCACGTGACCTACCTACTATAAATTAAACTTACACGAAATTTACCTACCATATATCATCAATATACTGTTTTTATTTGAGGATGAAAGCAAAGGACTACATACTCCTATTGCATATCGTTTGGTTTTCAATTTTCATATTCTTGTG